GACCAAAACACCACCTGCACATCCAGGACGAGGTAAGGAGTTCAGACTATGAGGATGTTTTTTTAATCATATCACCTCATGCAAGGCATTAAAGCCACTAAGGCACAAGTGGATTATTGAGTCTGAAAGAATAAGAAAAAAAGAGAAACATTATTAAGGAGCGAGAACAATAGAAGAGTAATCAAGAAGACAGTAAATAACGATTGACATTGCATTGAAATTTTTCAAGATCAAAGTTGGCTGGAAAGCATAGAGTCAGAAAAGTGTTCCACAAATGAGAAGTGCGAAAAAAGAAACTGTTAGCATAGAAATTACGGTTACATTTCGCCAGTTCAACTGTAAATTGATGAGACCTTGTTGCCAATCTAGTATTATGCTTAAATTCATAATTTCTAGGTACCAAAGCGGAGAGCTCATCAGCGCAATTGACATTAAAGTATTTATAGGAAAGACATAAGGAAGCTACATTACGGCGGGTGGGGTGGGGTGGTAACTGAAGCCGAGTCGCCATGTCAGGACCAATAATTTTGCAGATTCTTCTCTGTATTTTATCAAGGATCTCTAAATATATAACAGGTTCACCGGACCATGTGTGACAGCAATATTCAAAGCATGGACGAATGGTAGACATATAAATATGTAAGATAGATTCTGGCAAGTAAAATTGTCTAGCACGACACAGCGAACCAACTTTCATAGCAGCAGACCTCGCAATGGATTCAGTATAGTCTCTCTTGATATCAGCCGCGAATATTGGCGGCCCAAGAAGGCGCAACAATGATGCTAACCTCATGAAGGTTAGCATGAGCCATACTGATGGAATGCAGAAAGGAGTCTTTCAGATGATTAACAGACATAATTTTCGTTTTGGTGGCGTCAAAATTAACAAGCCGTTTCTTGCTCCAGATAACAGCAGATTGTAGGTCATAAAAAATAAGAATCTGCCAAATAGTAACATAACCTTCCAGAATCTGGGTACTACTGTGATTTACTCTCTGTTTATGGGGGGGGTGATCAGTATCTGAATAAAGTTTGTGTTAATATAAACAATGTGGACATAAAGAAAAAACTGGTATCTCGGCTTCAGTCCCTTTCCCACCGTCATAACGTGGCTTCCCGTGACGTTTCTATAAATGCTTTTATGATAATTGTTCTAATGAATTTTCCTTTATTGTACCTAGACTTTACAATTTTAACCGCAGTACTGGATTGGCAGTAAGGTCTCATCATTTTGCAATTGAAATGGTAGATGTTACCGTAAGTTCTATGTTAATAGTTTCTTCTATAGCGCTTCTCACTTGTGGAACTCTTTTCCGGTTTCTTGCTTCCCAGTCAAGTTTGATCAGAAAAAATGTAAAGGGAATATCAATTGTTATCTTCTGTCTTCTTAACTCTTGTTATTGTTCTCTCTCCTTAATATTGTTTTTTTTTTCTTTTTTTCATATTCTCGAACACTCAGTTACCCCTTGCGTCTTTGTGGCTTTACTGCCTTCCTTGGTGTGAAATGATATATATATATATATATATATATATATATATGATGAGCGTTATATATATATATATATATATATATATATATATATATATATATATATATATATATAATGCTCTTCAGTAACAATGAATAGAGCACTATGGCTGTCTGGCATTTGTTTAAATTCGTAAAAATAATACGCTAGAATTTACCTTTCCCTCTGCTGTGTGCTGATATCTCAGGGGTAGAAACTTCCACTGGTGCCAAATCGGCCGGGTTTCGGTCTCGGCTTAAAGCAATCGGATGACTTGCAGCACTGATGAGCTGTGATACGGAGAAACAGGCCTCTATGTGGATGACATTATATATATATAATTTCCTCCCACTACAATAAAACACCGATACACGCAGCCATAAATAAATCCAAATTTTTTAAAATTAATCACTTTGTCTGACGATCGCAGAGAGCGTGAAACCCATGGTCATAAACTCACATCAATCCAAATAAATATGTTAGCTCTATCATTGATATAAGTACCGAGCATATATAATATATAAATAATATATATATATAAATTTACATATATATATATATATATATATGTGTGTGTGTGTGTGTGTGTGCAATTCATATTGCATAATTTAGCTCTTGAAAATATATTTCAATTGAGCACTGCTAAATGACAGGCTAATTCTATAAACAACAGCCACCTGCACTAATGCAAGTCTCTTCAGTAAAATGAATCGAGCCCTATGGCTGATTGGAATTTGTTTACATTCGTAAAAACAATACGCTAGATTTAGCTAACTCATTCTGTCGAATGAAGATAGTTCAATGGTAGAAAATCTAACTGACACCAAATCAGTTGGGTTTCAATCCTAGCTTGCGGTATTCGGATGTCTAGTCGCACTAAGGAGCTGTGATACAGCGAAACAGTTCTGTCTGCGAATGACACATACACATAGACACACACACACACACACACACACACACACATATATATATATATATATATATATATATATATATATATATATGCATACATAAAGTTAGTAACGTAAAATAATGCTTCTTTTGATCTTTCAATGAAGAAATACTCTGAAAAGTAGAACATATATTTAGAGGGGAAACTAGACATTAATAATCAAAGAAAAATTGTAGTCTTACACCGAACAGTTACAAACGATAATTGTTACTTAAAAGACAAATCCATATCGCACAAAAATAATTTGTTTAACTGGTTTGCCAACTCTCGCTTTACGAAAGAACAGTTGTTCTTTCGCAATGTGCATAATAGTAAGTAGATATCTACGAAGTTTAATTTGGCACTGGACCAAAATAGGGTGCACCAAGTTAGGTTCGCAGTTCTAGATCAGATTGCAGACAATTGCGTTACCATAGAAACGGTAAGCATTCTTATGAAGGTACTTCAAAACTGTCGTAGTTTCGAGTTTCTTGAATCTAAACTTGACTCATTTTTAGTTCCACCAGGCTCTCTTGAGTTCGCTTCAACTATTTGACTCCTTTTCTGACGCAAGCTACAATACTCAAAAAAAATCCTATACAGAAAAGTAATGATGATAAATACGCTGATCAGACCAACTTACACACAGCAACGCGTGTAAAACAGGCGCTTCCATATTTTACACGTGAGATTGTTCTGTATTGTTCTGTTGGTAGTTATTGTTTTATAGCAATCCCAACATGTACAAAAACAATTTCATTGCAAAAAGGAAAAAACACCATTTTAAAATATTTAAGGGACGAATTTTCAAAATTGAAGCATTCGACAATACATAAAATTCAATTTTGAGGAAAACGTGATTGAATATGACATTTAAAATGCTGACTAAATTGACATCTTTTTCTAAAACATCATGTATATACTTCGTCATTTTTCTTTAAATAAATAAACGGATTTTTAAAGTCCTTTAAAATACACTGATAAAAAAAACGCAAAGCAAATGTGTGTGTGTCGTGCATGTGCATGTTTTTAACTTTCATTTTTTTTTTGCTCTATCTTTTCTCGATCTTCTCCCCATAATTGCTTCTATTTTTTTCCCTTCCATCCTTCTTCACGAATTTTCCCACCTTTTCTATTTTATCTCCCTTTAGCCTTCGATCTATTTTTTCTTATTTCTTACTCCCCACGCTAATTTTTTTCCTCTTCCTCTTTTCTTTTATTCAAAACCTCAGATGTCTTCATTTTCCCCATCTTTCTCCATTACTTTTTCTTTCTTTTCTCTTCCTTTTTCTTCGGCCACTTCTCCAGCTTTTTCTTTACCTATTAATCTTTTTCTTCATTTTCTTGATCGTACGTCGTCCTCCCGTGGCCATTCACAACTAAATAGCGGATAGACATCAAGTTGTGATTCCAATCATCACCATTCGCTGGGAGTAATGATGCGGGGGTTGTCTCCCCGTCCCGTTACCGCTGGTCGACAGATGGCACCAAATAACAACCAGTATTTGTAAGAGAAATGAGATATGGAGATGGGACTGGAGAAAACTGCACCACAAGAGCAGCAGGCTGTGGAGTAAAGAAGGTGAAATGAGGAAGAAAAACACGAGAACAATAAAACAGAGGTGAATGTAAATGTAGAAAGAAAGAAAGAAAGAAAGAAAGAAAGAACGAACGAACGAACTATTTTAAAAAGATCTTAAACCGGGAAAGAAAGAGAAATGGCTAGAATAAGAAATGATTTTTACAGCAGACATTTTACTCGACCTGTCTTTCCTGTTCTTCGGTCTTTTATATAATTTTATATAAATTTTATATTATTTTGTATTAATTTTATGTTATTCTATATTATTTTATATCAAATTTATGTTATTTTACATTAATTCTATATTGCATTAATTTTGTTATTTCGTCTTAACTTTATATCATTTTATATCAAGTTATTTTATATTAACTTTATATTTTTATAAAATTTATATTAAGTTTTTTTATTGATTTATGTTATTTCATGTTAATTTTATTTCATATTTGACTTCATTTTTTTAGTTTAGATTATATTAATTTCATGTGATTTTATATTATTTTTAATTTTATATTACTTTACATCAATTTTGTGTTAGTTTATATTAATTTCATATCATTTTACATCAGTTTTGTTATTTTATATTTTTCTATTAATTTCATGTTAATTTTATATTTTTCTTCATTATTGATGAAAATAGCTCCCTTACATTTATCATCATCTATACATTGTAATACTTAAACTTTTTACACTCATGTAACTGTTATTGGCGCCAAAAATGGAATCGACGAGCCAAGTTCAAATTCCGGTCGTTTATGTAAAATTCACTTTCAGACTTACTAATGTTTTCATTAAAGGTATAAATCCATATCGTCTCTGTCTCCCACTGCTAAGGGTTAAACAGTAAGAGAAACGGTGCTCTCTGCAAGCAGTCTAAGAGGAAAAATTACTCTAAATTCCAAACTGTGAGAAAACCAACCACTAAGTTATGGCAGTTCCCAAATAATCAAAAAAAAACAGTCTGTGGAGAGCCATGATCACCTACGTTTTGAATGGATATGGCATTTTAAAAAATACGTTATCAGTATTACTTTCTTTGTTTTCCACCCGCCAAAATTTGTTTTCGATATGGAGCTACTCTTGGGAAGAAACTGTACGAATGGAACTTCCTTCTTACTAATAAAATACAGAGGGAATGAAGATGGGTCACCGATGTCTACATAGTTTGGTGTGTCTTAACTGTAAATGTCTGAACTGGTGGAACTAAGGAATGTAATGCATCAGAACATTTATCCATGGAAACAGCGGAAGAGTAGAAAGAGGTAAGCAACGTTATGCCTGTGGGAAATGAATCGTAAGGTGAAAAAATAATCCCCCCTCCCCACAAGACTACATAAATGCTTTTGAACTCTGTCAAGGCTGAAAAGAGATGACTGAGCAGAGCCCCAGCCAGGATATGACTACATTCATCCATTCTTTCTCTGAACTGGCTCTTATAAAGATAGAACATGGCAGGTAGACCCAGGTTCTTTCTGAACTGGTATAAAGAGCTGGCCATTTTTTTTCCAGCGTCTTTAGTGAGAGTAATTTTCTAAGCGTAGCTAAGTTGTGGCACAAGTCAGAAAAAGTGAGGATCGAACTCACTAATCCGTTGTAATAGATCTAGCGAGACAAGCTTGCTAGCCTCTCCATCACCAGTATCTTCAGCGATGTATCATATATATATATGTGTGTGTGTGTTTGTGTGTGTGTGTGTGTGTGTGTGTGTGTGTGTGTGTGTGTGTGTTTCTCTTGCTGTCTGGAGTGATCTTGAATCCCTGTAGACACTCAAAGCAAGGAGCTTCTTTGAGATTGAAACCATTCATCATCACTAATGAGAATTTGGGGTCTGCGCTCGGTGATGAAGAAAAGCTATTACATTTGTTTTGGAGGTATTCAAAGTTACAGGCCAGTTTTTCCTTCATTGGGCTGCTAGAATTCATTATTAATATTTAAGTTAAACTTTTTATAATGTTTTTTTCTTTTTAGATTCCCACTGATCATTTTCCACTTTGACACAAATACCACCAACTATCAGTCATCTATCGAAAGATACATGATCGCCCAAGTGTGTATCGCGCATGGCACATAACTAATTGAATGTTTTTGTTTTTGTTCTTTCCTCTCGTCTGCTTCAATCGTCGTGGCGGGGGTGGTGGGTACTGAGGAGAGAAGAAACAGACTTTGATTCTCCTTCTTCATAATCCTTTCAGTGGGCTTTAAAATAACTTGGCGGCACCCATCTCCTCTCCAATCTCTTGACCAACAGACGAAGACCACGGATTACGGTGCGGATTGCCCTCAGTTTATGCACAAGGCCTCCAGGTTTTGAATTCAGAGTTGTCCTTCTCCTACACTCATGGCTATAGAACCCAGTCTGCCCTTCTATTTTACCATAGCTATGGTTGGGAAGAGATGCCATTAATGTTCAATATACAAAAAATGTGTTTAATTTAGGAAGAAATATAATGCATAAATAACTCTTCCAGAGTGGAAAAAGAAGAAACCATTTTTTTTTTTTTTTTTCAAATATTTTTTAAATTCTTCAGGTAAAATGATTTGTAGATGAATAAATGCCAGAATATTAACCCACCGTCCCGATTTAAAAACATTGGACAATAATGGAATATAGAAAAAAAACTCAATACTGCTTATTTGTAAACCTATAATTAATATGGGGTTTTCATAAACCTATAATAAATAGTGAATTTTTATAAATCTATAAGTTATATAGGATTTTTTCAACTATAATTAATAGAATTTTTATAAGCCTAAAATAAATACCAGCTTATAATTAATGTTTTTAAACTAAAATTAATACTGCATTTTTATTATAACTTTAGTTTTTATGCTTTATAACGGATTTTATGGTGAGCATTAATAGGTTACTGAAAAACAAAATCAGTTCATTGGAAGACTTCAAAAGTCATCAAGAGTTCATCTTTGTTCGAAAAGATAAAACGTTTTGGAAGAATGAAATTAAGATGCTTAGATGCTAACAAAAACAATGGAATAAGAGAATTACGTGTTATTCAATAAAGTTAATCTCGAAAGCAACGATAAAATATCTTCTTCTTCTTCCTCCTCCTCCTCCTCCTCCTCCTCTTCTTCGTCGCCATCGTCGTCGTCGTCGTGTCCCTTCCCCTTGTATCTCTTAATAAATTTTGTCTTTTGTTATCTCTCCTAAACCCTGTTTCACCATCCACTTACCGAAGGTCATTTAGTATGTTATGTGTTGTTTTCCACTGTCCCTCCTGCCTTTAATCTGTCCTGTGAGTATCAGATTTTCCAAGCCCTCCTTCCTCATTATGTGTCCTAGAAATTTTAACTCTCTCCTTCTGATGTTAATTAGAAATCTCCTTTTTGTTTTAATTTTCTCAAAAACTTCACTTGTTACTCACATGTTCGATTCATAATATTCTCAGCATCCTTCTGTAGAACCACATTTCTGTGGCTTCAAGTCTCTTCTTCATCTTTGAGGAGATTTGCCCAGCATTCACTGTCATAGAGGAGGATCGATATTACATAACAGTTCAGTATTCTAATAAGCGATTCTAAATTTCCAGCTAAAAGAATACAAAGATGAGCTTTTTTTACTATTTTCCCCCTATGTTGTGGCCTGGTTAGGGCCAGAATTAAAGACACAAGAGAGGAATTGAGTTAAAAAGATATAAGAAACAGTAATACAAACATATACAAACGAGAGTGTTACAGCAAGAATGTTCGGTCTGACTGTCAGAGCTGACTGCTGTAAACTTCCTTCTTCAAAAAGCAGTACCTGCTCCTATTTATAACTGGGAGAGTCCATTCGTGCGTAGGTAAATTACCATAATACCCCAGTACAAGGCTTAAGAGCCACTCAAAGTTTAGATTTACTAAATAATGGCATATGGGTAAGAGACAAGACGTGCACGTTATGAAGGTGTGTAGAATAGATAACGGTTGACCATAGACATGAAGTAGTTAAGATTGTGAGAGTCGGAAAGTATCATGCCATTCTCAATGTTGATATAATTTCCATTCTAGTTTCTTTTTTTATAAATAGACACTCACACTTACAATGGCTGATGAATGTTTCTAGGTTCGATCATAATTTCTTCTTTTTCTCGCCAAGAACTTTTTAGTATGCTTCGTATAAAATCGAATTTTTATTATCGGAGTGAGCACAAACGCTAACCCTACCCTAATTATTAGTAAGTTACAAGTTCATTTATTCTTCAAGTTAGAGCATATTATCGGTATAGCGCTAACTGAAATCTCGCTAAGATATCTCAGTTTGGGCTTTGGTAACTGACAAACTTTATGATCGGGTTGAGCACAAACGCTAACACGACAGATGCAAATTTACATTAAGATGCAAATTGATTTATTCTTCAAGTTAGGACACTTTAACGATATAGAGCTAGCAAAAATCACGCAACGACCGCGTTGTTGCTGTGGTAGCTAACGCACTAACAAACATAAATCGGATCTTTACTATCGGGGTGAGCACAAACGCTGACACGACTATAATTATCCTTACGATGCAAACTGATATATTCTACAAGTTAGGAAATTTTAACGGTATATCGCTAACTAAACCTCGCTATGATATCTCATTTTTGTTGTGGTGCCAAACATACTCCAAAGTAGGAATTGGTTCTTTAATATCGGGGATGCGGACACTACTCACGAACAAAATTAGATCATAATATTCCAATATTTATTTCTTAATATTCTGACATATCGTATTTTACAGGCATTTTATCTCTTATTCATTTATTTATTCATTTATTTATATATATATATATATATATATATATATATATATATATATATATATATATATATATCTTC